GAAGATTGAATATTTTTGAAGAGTCTAAGCCCATTCTGCAAGAGTCTATATAAAAGAACTTGCTAGACCTAAAATAGCAAGCATTCACAAGAAGAAACTATGGGTGAAACATAAGGGTTTAGGGTTCTGGGAGTCTTTTTGGTTTTTAGCGTTTGTGTTCTTTGTGTGTCACTCATTATCTTTTGATGCATCGAGTTGATTGTTTTTTGCTTGTTTATCAAGCTATTATTCTCACTCTGAAGCTTTTAAGCAAAGAGTTAAGTATTGTTCTTAGTTGAAAATTTTAAGAAAAATTAAGTATTATTTATTGAAAGTGTAATCTTCTTTTAGGTTTAAGTCTAGTAAAAAGGTTTGTGGCTGTAGGTATATCACTTTGGTGATTGGAAGAGAAGGGGGGGGGGGGGGGGGGGGGGGGGGGGATCTCATATCTAGTGGTTTCTAAGTAGAAGTTGCATAAGATAGTGATTAGGCGAGAAGTGGTAAATTAGGATTGATTTAGCTTTGAACTAATATCTCATAGTGAATTTCCTTTCTGGTTTGATAGTCCCCATAGTAGATGACGTTGCACCGAACTGGATTAATAATTGATTGTGTTCTTTAAAATTCTACAATTTATCCTGCTGCACAATCAACAGTTTAGTAGGTTTTTTGTCAACATATGTCATAGCATATGTCCTGACATAGCGTTTTGTATTGAAACATTAGTTTTAACACTTGTTTTAAAGTGCCGGAATTTCAAGAGTTTTTGTAGCTACAAAATTCTCCATCATAGATTCCAGCCTAAAAAGAGTTTGTGTCGCAATGAAATTCTCCATTAACATTTCGAGATCGGATTTATGGGAATCTTGTGGTTCCTCAAAATACTGGGAGTGGTAATCGTAGAGAATATTTGAGTGATCATCCATCCACCTAGGATTATAGTAATTGAAACAAGAGTGCCTTAGCCTATACGGTATAACAACAGAGTTACGATATTGACTAAATTGATCCCTAACAACGGTGCCAAAATTTTTATGAGATGTTTCTGCAAGTGCACAGAAATATCGAAGTAATATAAAAGATTGCCAAACTCACAGGAACCAAATATCAACCTACCGTTATCTACTATTGCTACGTTTATCTAACGCTATGGATCTTAAGGGGAATGAAATTTAAAACAAGAATTGAAGTAAAATGGTATAAGAATACTCAATAAAAGTGAGACCAAAATGTAATTTCTGATGTACCTTTAAGACTAAGATAAATTTCGGCGTTTGTTGTCGGTTTAAATTTTTTTCAAGAGGAAATACTAACTTAAAAACACTGCTCACTTTCGCGTAGCTTGTGTCATATTTCGAAACCATAAATGCTTTGTTGTCGCTCCACAAGACAAAATTTTTGAAACACTTTTTGAAAACTGATAAGTCTTAATTAATTACTAAAGCGCTGTCACTGTTTTTAGAAATTAAAAATCCAGTTTTTGTTGATCGGATACCGGTCTCATATAATTGTGCTTTTGACCGGTATTTGAGTGCTTTTATTGTCGCACAAAGCTTTTCGACTTTTAAAAACAGAAATACATAACCAAAAAATAAAATAATATGGAAATTCAACGCCAATTTAATTTCCCGATTTCCGTCAGAACAATGGTTCTCACATCTTAGACTCTAGAAACTTAGCCAAACATAATTGACATAATACTCATGTTATAATTATTATGCATACAAAGTAGAGACATGACCATGATTGTTATTTCTCTGAAATATGATTGGCATGAATTTTGGTAAAACTAACTTTGCAGTAACATGTTTCAACTTGCAGATTCAACATGTTGAACGTGATGTCTTAACCAAAAGTATAGGACATCTGGTATGTTACAGTTGACGGTTTGGATTCAGTTGTTGTGATTTAATTATTGAATATTCTAGGAATATTTAGTAATCCTATGTGGCGTCCAAGATTGATAAATCAGAGATTTTATATTGGTATTCAAGATATTCAAAGTTTCTAAATATGGAGACATTTTAGGAAAGTTTTGATTGAAGATCTATTTTCTTAGAGAAGTTTTTGCAATCTCCTTGTTGCATTTTTTAGGCCCAAATTCAGTTGGGAAAAAGGTTATAAATAGAAGCATTGTAACCTAGAAGAATGTACCAGGCGTGAATGAAAAGATGTAGTTATTAGGGCTGAACCTGTAAGCCATTCTCTAGGAGAGTTGGTATGTGTGATCCACTCGAGTTGTGATTTGAACTGTGTTACAGAGTTGTAATCTCTGTTATTGTTCTCCTCGAAGCTGTGAAGCAAAAGTGAGTATTGTTCTTGGAGGAAGCTTTTAAGTAACTCCAAGTTGTGTTCTTAGTCAAGAGTCTTGGCTAGGTATTATCATGGAAGTGTTTCTTCTCGTCATGGAAGTGTGTCTTCTTGTTTTGTCATAGAAGTGTGTATTCTTGTTATTGTCCAATCGCTGTCTGTGATTGATGAGGGATTTGAAGAGGGCCGCATACCTAAGTGAGTCTTAAGTAGAAGTTAAACAACGGGTAGTGATTTAGTGTGTAGATTGTAAACCGGTATGTTTGTCGTAGGGTCTATGAATTGATATTATCATAGTGGACTTGTTCCTGACTTGGTATGCCCCTATAATAGGTAGTTAGACTGAACTGGGTTAATAATTCATGTGTGTTGTTTATGCTTTTCAGTACTGTTTTGTATGTTTATACCTTGCCTGTGCGTTTTGTTCAGATCAGATGTCTGGACATGTTATGGGACATCTGAAGTCTGATATACCATAATTTCAATTGTATCAGAGCAGACATCATGTTCTGTTTTTGGGTGAGATCTTGGGATGATACTTTCTGGTTCATGGGCAGGGAAGGAGGTATCTACTGAAAAGTTGTTTGAACTTGGAAAAGTCATATTGTCGTTTGAATGGTCCCTTGAAGTGGAGGATGGACTATTCGTGACAGGGTGTATATTGGACGTGTGTGTTGTTATCTGGCTTGTAGCTTTGGTGGTGAGTTGTTGTGTTTAGTTTGATTTATTTTCAAACTTAAGTTATTTTGTTTGCACCTAGATTTGGGTGCTTGTGTGCAGGGATTTTTTCAGTTGTGCCTGAAGGTTGTTGAGAAGTTTTATTTGTTCCACTGCATCTTATAGAAAACTCCTGTTGGTTCCTTGTGTCTCTGGTGTTAAGGCTGTAGGTAGGTTTTCCCTTGGAATATCAATAAGGGAAGAGCTTTATGATCAATCCTATATTTGTGTGATATGTGGAAGACAAGTTCAACCAGCTTGTTAAAGTTGCCAAAGATGCTTGAGGTTCATCTCAAGTCCACTCATAAAGGCACTTTTAAAATGGGTTTGTTGAAAAGAGATCTGAAGAAAGTTAGTAGCAATTTATTTTTTCTTTCAACCCTAAAAAGACCAACCTTCGGTCTGTGTTAAAAGATCTCTTGATGTGTCTCTTGGAAAGATGTTCTACCAGATGTTGGAACATCTCATTAACAGAGTGTGCAGAATCCTGTTTGGATAAAGGATTGGCATAGCAGATGCTCTGGGTGCTAAACAAATATGTGTTGGTCACAAATGTTCAGAATATTCTCCTGATCTGGAAGAGGAGGCATATAGGTTGTGTATCTAAGATGTTTTATCCAGGAAACATGTCTTAGACTAGTGTGCTGATTAATGAGCGCAGAGGTTGAGTTCTATTTTTGAGTGGAGATTTGTTAAAGGCATCTCAACCAGAGTCTTTATTTATAGATGTCAAGATCAGTGTCAAGGTTGTGTTGTTATAAAGGGGGGGGGGGGGGGGGGGTCCCTAATCTGGAGTTGGAGTGCCCTTGAAGAAATGTCAGACATAATGTCTTGACATTTGTGTATTGAGAATTTAATTTTTCTCAATATATTTGGCTGGTGTTTCTCTCAAGCATGATGGAGGTTGTTTACTCAAACTTGTTATTTTTTATCAAGTCTATGAGAACATGGAACTCTTGTTCTGGGGTAGAGGAAGAGACGGTCAAGGAATCGTGCACTATGGATGTATCAACCTAAGTGGTTGATTGGTGTTTGCACATGTTGAAGTATCATCTAATTCACCTAAGATGAGCATTTCAATTTCTGTCTAGAGCAAGGAGGAGTTGGCTTTCCTTGGTTATCTGTATCTGAAGGTTTTCTTCAAGATTAAGGCTCAGTTATGTGATTTCTTCACATGATGGAACATTTGCTTTTGCAAGGATTAAAAGGCATCCTTGTGTGTTAATGAATTGGGAGAAGCAGACTTTTTCTAAATAGTCTGTGTGGTATTATGATCTGTTAGAGAGAATCTCCTCTTTAGGTGTAGAAGAATTGGATCTATCACCTCAAAGTCAGACAGGCAGTCTGGGCATTATGTTTATAAGGAGAAGTTCCTTAAGGTGTGTTATATGCATATTACTGCATGTATTCATGGACTGGTCTTGGAGGTTGATCAGTTGTGAGTTCAGTATGGTTCTCTCGTGTTTCCTTCAAGAGATATGTTTGGCTTACTATGGATTATGTCTCCAAAGCTATAGTACATAACTATGTATGAACTGTTGTTGGGACATCATCTCAGGTGTCTGCTTTCTCAGCTAACACTACGCCAAAATTGATTTTTGATAGCACTTTTTGGCTTTTAATAGCGTTTTTAAGAGCTATTAAAGCTCCCGCTATTATAGGATAGACATATTTAATAGCGCTTAAAAAATACTATTAAACATGGTATCTTTAATAGCATTTTCCAAAACTGCGCTATCAAAGTCTAGTTGGTGTGCTACTAAAGCACTATTAAAAGCCCTTATTTTTCTTTTATTTTTAACTAATAAAATCATTTTGTAACTCAATAATAGAACAAAAACACCACAACAATTCTACTTAAAATGTGCATATCAACAAAAACAACACATTCATTTCATTCAAGACAAGATCAATTAATTTGTATTGATTGAAATTGAATGAGAGATCTCATAAACAATATAAACTTCATGTCATGACATTAATACAGTTTTATTCTAAATAAAATTGCAAATACTTGTACTTAATTTATTTCTTACATAAACTCCGAGATTACTTTCATCTTCTTCCTTGACATTGCTGCTCTTCAAAGCGATAACCAATACAATTACTAGCATGTGAGAGAATAGATAAGTAAAGATTATTAATGTAGTAGCAATCAAAGTAGAAAATAATTCAGCTTCCAGATTCATGTTTCCGCGTAAGCAATTATTATAAAGTATTTGAATGTGTATAACAAAATAACTTCCTCTGCATAATTGATATATAAATTAACTTCTAACCTCAAAATATAATTCAAATTCTAATCTAACAATTCGTTTAGGGATTATTGCTGAACTTTTAGCGAATGAAGATGGTACAACCTAGCCAACATCATAAACAAGGAGTTGTTTATTAGTTTGAAACAAATATCATATTTTGATAACACATCGCAGTACTTGTGATCCTAACATTTTTTAGCCTTTAATTTTTGAAATTATCTAGAGACAGACAAAAATAAAATTGATTTTCCACTAAAGGATTATCAACTTCATCTCTTGTTAGAAAAATAATATAATGTCCATTTACTTAATTAATCCTATTCCTTACCCATAGTAAAATAAATACTTAAGTTGGCTTCATTTTTCTATATTCTTTACTGTAGCAACAAAAAATTTATTAATAGGTACTTTATTAGCATAAGTAAATTTCAATACTACAAAGGTACCAAAAAAAGCTGTATTGAATTCAGGCCACATCACCACTTATGTCACACATTAACAAAACCAAAGCTTATGAAAAGAGAACATGTTGGGACCCAAATTCACAACCCATATATAAAACACTCCTTAAACCAGGAAAAAATATACCGAAGAGGCATGAATGACTTAATAAATATTATATGCATAATTCTTGTCAGAATTTAACAATGAAATACCACAAGCTTCCTTCATTTTCTCGTATTAAAAAGAGTATTTTTTTTTAACATATGCTGCATGTCCTGTCGAAAATTTTCTATTAAGGTTTTAATTGAATGACCAATGCAGAACCATTCATGTAACAATAGTGCAAAAGGTTTACTAACACAATTATTTCCTTCCTTTATGCAGTAGAGAATGGACCAAGTGGTAACATATTTTAGTAACCCAAGTGGCATTATATGCAAGCTATCTTAGAAGCCTCACTTGCATTCCATATATGTAGTTCTATCCAAATTTAGGAAACACGTGATAACAATATGGATGATTGAGTGGAAAACATTGTAAATGTTATCATGTAGCATCCTTTAATAGGAAAAAATGAATTTGTTGATAAATATGGAACTAAGACATATCCATAATATGAAGTTCTCTAGAAAAAAAAATGGAGATGTATTATTCCTTTCATTTCAATGAGAACTTCAAAAAATTCTATGTGTCTGTATAGGTGGATAGGTTCATTAATTAAAAGCATTTTTTCTTAAAAACACTTTCACGATGAAGAATGGTGTCAAAATCACAACATGTAGATATTTCACTAAATTGATAAATTAAAAGGTTAAGGATCAGCCATATGATATTACTATGATGTTCTCTTATTACCCATACTGCTCTATAAACTTAAAAATACATAAATTACGGCTTAAAAGAATACCTCAACCTCTTGAAGAGCTTCTCTATAAACTAGGTCGAAGGAATTTCACTTGCTGAGTCATAGAGTAGCAACTACTGTAGATCTTCAATGTGACTTTCACCGAGCAAATGACCAGCAACCTTAGAAAACTGGTCAGGGACAAGATAAAAGAATTTCTTCAGAGCATTGTTGTTATTGGAAAATTAATTCATTGAGTCTTGCAGGAACACTACTTTTCTTTAAAGTGTCAAAAATAGTAAATTTCATCAGCTAGTAAATAATATAGAAACAGAGAGGAGCTTTTGTGGTGGTCTTCACATATGAAAAATTATCAAGAAAAAATTATTTACAAAAAAAGTAAATAAAGTACATAATGTATGTACGAAACTTTTAGCATATGTATGCTTGAAGTGTGAGCTTTGTCGGTATGGCTTCTTACCAAAAAGTCGAGTCAGACGCTAAAGTTTCCATAAGAATGATTAAGATCGAAAACTTGGCAAGTTGGTGTATACGCCTTCTTGGCTGAAGCCTACAGAAACTTCTTTCTAACTATTTCATTTTCTTCTAATCTTGTTTAAACTCTTGTTTAAACGAGAAACCTAATCCTCCAAAATGAGCTCCACAATTTGGCTGCATGGTCAATATGGACCTACTCCAATTCTAACTCTACTGACCAAGATAACCTGAAAAAATAACCACAGTTTCAGCAGATACCCTCACTAACTCTGGAGGGCTTTTATTCAAGTATTTTTCAGATAAGTAATCCAATGCATCTAAGACAATGACAAGAGAAGATGACTTTGCACAGTAAGGTAAATGAAATCTTATGTCAGCCACATACACAAATCCCTTGTGTACAAGACTTTTTTACTTTGCACCTACATCATCTAATTCATATGGTTATGTTTTCCAAGCCTTTGTATCCTCTTATGCTCACAAACTAGATAGCACATAACAAGTGTTAGTGACAACGTGCAAAACTGTATGGATTTTTTTCCACATGCTTTCTTCAAAATAGGCAATGCATGTATTAATTTTAATTTACATGGTGAACCACCTTCAAGTTTACTCACATCCTTAATATCATTTCTAGCTCCACACATGGTTTTAAAAAATGGTTGTGGTCGCGTTAAGGCTTTCGCGATTTCGGTTGGTATCGGTGTCGCGACTCTGATTGCGGTTGTCTCAGTGTGAATTAACCATAATGTATAACATATAAAATTGTGAAAACGGTATCGGCATTTTCCGAACCATTTTGTCACAGCTGTTTCGCATGGCAAACCATTTTTTAAAACCCTGGCTCCACCTGAAATGTTGTAACAATAACCAATAAGAAAAACCACAGCCACAATAACAAGCCCAATAGATATCAGAGGAGAGTTGTAAGATTTAGACTGAATATATTTTATAAATCAATCACATATAAATATACACAAAAAATGTAAATTGATTAGGCACAATATACGATCAATGTATGGAACTTCAATTGCGTGCATATCCATTTTTAATCTCCAAATCAATGTGAGCCTAATTTACAAAGTATGATCAATTGAAAACCTGTGGGAAGTTAGGACTCTGAGGCCAAAAGTTGTTGTCTTGACTTAAGATTACCTTGTTGCATTCACCTTGGTGAACTGAACAGGTTGCTCTGCTTCACTTCAGAATTAACAAAAAGATGAGTGAAAGTGGTTTTATGGTTTCAATTGATTCTCGAGTTATGGGTTCAATCAACTTTAGGGTTTTATGGGATATTTGGGACTTTTGCGTTCCAATTTCAATTGATTTTTGTTTTAGGGTTTTTGCTTTGGTGAATGGAATTTTGGTTTTATGGAGAGAAGAAGGTTTTTGAGCTCGATGGAGAGAACAATGAAGGTGGTTCAAATTAAGTCGTTGGGAAAGAAGATAGTTTATGAATTTTGGGAAAGAAAAAGGTGAGTTCGTACTATGGTTGAGAACGTAGGGTTTTTTTCTTTGAGCAGAGTTTTTTTTTTTTTTAATTTAAAGAAACCCAAAATAAAATGAGCGTGTTTTCTTTTTTAGTTTACTAAAACTTATTCGCTAATAATATCGTTAATTAAAAACGCTAACAAAGGGGTGTCCAACAATAGCGTTTATCTCAAAAGCGCTATTAAAACCCTCTAATTTTTGTTTGTTTTGTCAACAATCTATGAGGATATCTTTTAGTAGCGCCCGACAAAAAAGCGTTATTATAGATCACTATGTGAATATTTTAATAGCACTTTGCTAATAAGTGCTATTATGAGACAAAGTTGTAGTAGCGTAAGGAAGCTTGTTTTGTTCAGAGTGGAGTGTAAGATTAAGCCATTGGCCTAATCTGAAATGGTCTGTGAAGTAAATGTTTGTCATTGTTGTTGGTTATAAGGAAGAATTCATGTACTAGTGATATACAAAAGAAGGATGTCAGACCATGAGTTCTATCATCTCTATGGAGGTTGTCTAATCAGTAGACTGTACTTGTGAAGAAAGGAACGTGAGAAAATATTTTGTTGATGAAGGTGTGCATGTGACTGATTGCAAATACTCTGTCAGGACCTGGGTATTTGTCTTATGTGTTCATACAGAATTATGTTCTGAATATTATGATTCAGAAAGTGTTTGAGAGTTTATTTCTCTCCATGATACTCTGTTGTGTTACCGATTGAAGATGTGCATATGATCGACGGTAAATACTTTGACGGGAGCTAAGTATTTTTCTGACGTGTGTGTGCAAGTCTGCATTCTGAACACTATGTTTCAGAAAGGGTTTAAGAGTTTATTTCTCTCCATGGTTCTCTAGCGTGCGGTAGCTGCTGAAGGTGTGTTCTTTTAGGAGCTTCTTGAAGGATGTCTATGCATAATGACTCATTTGGGTGGTGATTTAAGAACTAAAGTGATTGGATTCTGTGATGAGAAGTTGATGTCCCAAATGATGTTGGAACATCATTTTTGAGGAAGATACTTGGGTTGTGGATGTGGAGTATGGTGCTTAGAATTATGTGAGAAGAAGAATTCCTAACTGGGCGAATTAGGATGTGAAAATTATGATCTTGTTTATAGTAGTATGTTCTGGAAATGCACGACTACTATCAATTTGAAGACTCCACTAGTATTAACTATTACTAGTGGATGTAAGGGCAAAACAATGTAGTCAGATAGTGTGGTTTGATCTTTTTTTTTTGGAGTAGAGTGTATGATATATTGCCCCCCTAAGAATCATGACATTATGAATGGATCTGTAAGGACATTTATCAGACGTTTCCTTATTAAAGTGAAGAAGTGAAAAGGCCTGGATGTACTCTAAAGGAGCTAGAGTATCTGGTTCAGCATTGTTTTCATTATGTGTAAATGTGTTCAGCAGATGTGCGAGGTTACAGTTATTCACTATAAGAATGTAAAATCCTTCATGTGATTTCATCTGGTATTTAAGTGCTCTTCTTCAGCAGAAGCACTGGTTATCCATGACAGGGGAGTTATTTAATTGTATATGGATTATTGCTGCAATGGTGCAGATATTGTGAAGCTTGCGTGTGTTTCAAGCTTGTGAAGACTTTTGTACCTTTGGTGAGGTTGCGATGTTAAACAACATGTTATGACATTTGACTACTAAATGGAATGGGCTTGCTCCTGATAGGGCATGTTGGTTCTAGCCATGTGAAGCAAGGTGATTGCTTCAAGAGTACACATGTCTCTCTAAAGAACATTGTTTATGTCTGAGAGAATTTATTTTTCTCTGCAGAACTTGGAAGGACTTTATGAAAGTTTTTTTTTGGATGATGTCACACATATGATGTCTTGATATTTTATTTGTGTTGGTGTTGGCTGGAAATTTTGATTAAGTCAAAATTGAGCTGAAACAATGGTACTGAATATACTTAGAGAGTTGTTTGGTTATTTTATTTGTTAGAACCCAGGAAGATTCAAATTCAAAATTGATAGTTTATGAAATTCAAATTGTGGAATAAGGCATCATTTGAAATTCGAATTCGAATTAAGGTATTATTCGAGATAAGGTTCAAAAATGTTATACTTTGAACGTTATCAGGTTTTGGCGCTCAATACGGATAATCGAAGGGTTTTTGAATTTAAATGTTTATTCTTATCCAGAAGGACGCGTGGAATCTTTAGGATCATCGAAGACATGTCAGCGGAAACGTGGCAGTAGTTCATTAGGAGACTGTTAGGATCGAAATTCTATAAATTGTAGCTTTTATGTTTCAATTTAGTGTGTTCACATATTTGTACAAAATACTCAAAGTACCAGTGTTAGAGAAACGAGTTAGAGAGAATGTACGTATGATGCACCATATTTTACAATTCAATGTCATTTATATGCAATGAAGTTTCTTCATGTTATTTATGTCCTTTGTAATTTCCGATCTAGACTAGTTTCTGTTTTATTACTTTCATAAAGAAGTTTCACTTCGACATACGAAGTGTTTCCTTTCATTTAAAAGAGATTATCACAAAAAACACGTTTTCTAAATACTAGAACACAATAGTCCTGAGATGAATCTAATCGATCTCGCAAGTAACTGAATTCGTTAAGGGATTTAGAGGATCAGCGGTTGTTTACCAAATTCCAGGGTAAACAAATTGGCACACCCGGTGGGACGCTGTGTCCAATTTTTTATAATAACATGTGTTCACCAACTTGTTTCGTTGCATGAGATTAAGAAGTGGAAAATTAGCCAATACCACAGATCCTAGACCAAAAAGGTAATACAATAGGAAAATGGATAACCCACCCGTTAGTGATGCACAACAAGTTCCTCCTTCCACATGAGGGAATATGAGTGCTTCGAATATAACCGAAGCCATGGCAACGAGTCAAGGGACAGTGGTTATCCCTTCGACTACAAATTCTGCAGTCATACCCCCAAATACAAATGCTTCAACCGTATTATCAAACACACAAAATAAACCTTTTACAATGTCTGTGGGCAGTCAAATTCTACCCATAACCCCCAAACCTTCAATAAATGGTGTCTCTAGAATATATGCACCAGGATTCACAATCCCAACATCAGATCCAATATATGGCATGCCAACTTCGTTCATGGCAGGACTTCAAAATAACACTTCGACATATACATGTCCTGTAAAATCTGTTTTTTCGCCATTACAAGGATCAGGTTCAGGGGTAAACTATATGGCACGAAATAATTCGCAGCCAGGATATGTTGCTCAATTGCCTCCTATTACCACAAATACACAGGAAGTTTTGAGGAAATATATGGATGATAGTAACCATGAAATGGTGGGAGTACTTGCCCAACAAATGAGTACAATTTTTAACCCTTTCATCTAAAGCACCACACAGACGAACTTGCAGAATGCCCAAGAAAACCAACAAATGGCAGCACAAATTGGGCGCCTTGCAGATTTCTTTGGTGCACCCAGAGAACCAATTCGACAACCACAACCTACATGGATAAGGTAAAATCAAGGCATCACGTTTCAAGAAGAACCAACCATTGACCAGGACCAATAGGTGATACATCCAGAAATCAAAATTCAACAACCAGTTCGAAGGGAAGAACCACCCAGATTTCAACAGGCTATTCCCAGTGAGGAACCACGAAGGAGGGTAGTCATGGTGAATCAAAACCAAGATGCTGACGAAGTCCTCCAAGGATATCGCCAAGATGATATGGTAGGAAATAATAATCTAGCAGTCATAGTCGAAAGAATCATGGCACAAAATGGAGTAAATGTTGGCATGCGAAGGCCAAATCATACACCCCCTTTGTCTGAATATATTCAGCAAACTGAGTTGCCTAGGGGATGGAAAGTGCCAAATTTTATAAAGTTTTCTGGTGACACCAATGAGTCAACCATAGAACATGTTTTTAGATATCTTACAGAAGCAGGGGATATAGCAAACAATGAGAATCTAAGGATTAAGTATTTCCCCAGTTCACTAACCAGAAATGCTTTTACTTGGTTTACTAATCTTGCAGCAAACTCCATCCATGATTGGACTCGCTTGGAGAGATTATTTCATGAACAATTTTATGTAGGTCAATCTAAAATCATACTGAGCGAATTGGAAAATGTTAAGTGCAAATTCAGCGAGCCTATAGACGATTATCTTAACAGGTTCCGTTTGTTGGAGGCAAGATGTTTCACACAAGTGCCTGAACACGAGTTATTCGAAATGGCAGCAAGAGGATCAAACTTCTCTATCAGGAAGAAGTTAGATCCCAAGTATCTGAGAGATATGGCACAATTGGCTGATAGGGTTCGACAGGTGGAGCGTTTGAAGATCGAAAAAGCAAGGGCTAACAAAAGCCAAAGGAAAGAAAGAGTGGCCTATATCAAAGCCTGTTTAGACGAAATAGATGTCGAAGATGATTTTTCAGAGGTTGAAGAACATGAAATAGATCTTGCAGAATTAAAGCAAGGACCACCATATCCTTGCAAAGTGCTAACACCTACAAACAGAAAAAATCCCGTTGAACTAGAAAGGAATGACAAATTACCAAAGAAAACCTATACTTTCGACATCACCAAGTGTGATGAAATCTTTGATTTATTAGTAAAAGATGACCAGATGATAGTGCCCCCTGGTGTTAAAATTACTCAGTTAGAACAACGGAAGAAAAGGGGCTTTTGTAAGTATCATAATTTCTTAGGCCATAAAACCTCACAATGCTATCTTTTCAGGGATTCGATATAGAATGCTATCAAGGAAGGGAGGCTAAAGTTTGGAGAGAAGCCCAAGAACCAGATGAAGGTCGACACAAATCCTCTTCAGATTGCTGAGACAAATTTTGCAGAGCCTGTAGATATCAACATGGTTGACGTTGTCGAAGTCGAAGGATGTCAACTCGACGCAGACAAGACATCTGAAGATACCCAGGGGCCAAAGACTACTGAGGGTCTCATGGGCCAGGAAGAAGGCAATGCTGCTGATGGCAATGCCAAAGTTGCTGGCGAAGCAAAGACTGCTGAGGGTCTCATGGGCC